ATCCTTTTTTTTTCCCCTAAGTCTATAGTATCTATCCTACTCAAATCTATAAACTACTATAAACTACTTAAAGCTGTTCAGATAATTGGGGAACTGTATACACTATTCAGTAAATGGTCCTGAGGCAAATTATTGTATCTATAGAAAATAAATTTACTACTCATAAAAATTTTTAATAAGTTTTAAAGGTGAAACTGTGAAAAGTTAAATTTCAATCATTAGAAGAACTTATATAAAGCTGTATTTGTCCATCTTGGGGTAGGAAAATATTTTTCACCAAGTCACATCAGAAAGAAAAAAAGTTGGTGATTTTGAAAGCATTAATATTAAAAACATCATATTAATTTTATTTTTATTTATTCATTTATTTTTAAAGATTTTGTTTATTTATTTGACAGAGAGACAGCGAGAGCAGGAGCACAAGCAGGGGGAATGGGAGAGGGAGAAGCAGCGAGCAGAGAGCCCGATGTGGCACTCGATCCCAGGACCCTGGGATCATGACCTGAGCCGAAGGCAGACACTTAATGACTAAGCCACCCAGGCACCCCAAAAGTATCACATTAATTTTAAAACACCATAAAGAGAATAAATGGACAAGGCCAAAGAGGATATTATGAGACAAATAAGTTATTACGGATTTATATGCAAAATATATAAGCATCTCCACCATTTCAATTGGTGAAAGGACAAACAAGCGAACAGAATAATTGCCAAAAGTAGTGAATAAGCACTTTACAGGAAAGAAATATAGGAAGATAACATTTGGAAAGATATAATTATTTTGCCAAATAATTTCAGATATCAATTAAGACTTTATTTTTGGCGAGGACTAGGGGCACTTCATAGATAAGAGCCAAGGGAAAAAGAAAGAAAATAAAAAATGTTATTAATTCTGGAAAAGAAGGTAACAGATTCCCTAACTGAAAGCCTCTATTTCGTGGGAAGCAGGATGCGAAACCAACTTCTAACAACTACAAGAAGGTCCTTGAAGACAGTTTTTAAAATATGATGGGAGAAGTAGTACTAATGAATTATGGTCAAATAGATAGCATTTCAAAATCACTGTTTTATAATATTTTTCCATCAGAATCATGGAACATAGGATTGAGGAGTAAATAGTGAAGATCAATTGATGAAACCATCTCTGTATATTTGTTTTATTGAGAAGCAGTATAGAGTACTGACTGGAGTGGGGTCTCTGGTATTAGAACTCCAGGGTTCCAGTTAAGACTCTATTCTTGCTTGAAGTATTTAACATCTCTAGATTTGCGTTACAGTACCATTAAAATGGGCACAATAATAGAATTTACAACACAGAGTTATGACAAAGCACTGAGAAGTAACTGAAACATAGCCAACATACGACAAATGTTATCATAATTACTTGTACTGTTTTTATTACAACTGAGTCCTATGATCAAATCCTGAATCTGTGCCTCAACATTATTCTTTTTTTATGAACTAAGATTTGTTTTATTCTAGGTTTAATTAAGCATGCACAGATTTTAAAAATTAACTACCTCAATATACAAATCTGCATATGGATAAATCATAATTACTTTAGCATTGCAGTTTCCTTGGAATGGCAAGATTGAATAGGACAGAGGAAGTGAAAATGTATCTGTATCATTTTATACTTATAACCTCTTTTTTTAAGTCTGAAAATAAGACATTTTTTAAGTCTGAAAAATTGCTAATAGTCATCTTCTTTAGCATTTTCTATTTGGCAAACACTGTGCTAAACACTTTGCATGCATTCACTCATTGTTCTCTACATTCTAAAGCACATAATTTCTATAAATTCTTCTCTTTTTACTCAATATTTAATAGCAACACATTTTTAAAAAGCAAGTGATGAAGAAAATAAGAAAGATATAATATTTTTTCAGGAATATTTTTTGAGTAAAAGCTGAAAAACACTGCACTTTGTGACACTTTGGACTTTGAACAAATTGCTTGGCAACCTTCTTGGATAATGAAAGCACATTGTGGCAGAGGGTGGGGCCTGTCCCTTGACCCTGAGGTTGTAATCATAGCCAAGAAATGGAATTGAGAACTAGTTAAGGTTTGATAAACCTAAGCTATTGGACAGTATTTGTTTTACAATTTCACAGTGAAGATGCTGACTGATCCTTTAGAAAGTACAGTTCTCCAAATCAGACTACTTTAGAGAAAGACCAATCTAAATTAGGAACAAAAATAATTTTTCAACAACAATTATAATAAATTTTGTTGAATGAGAAATAACTTTATTACTACTAGTACTGATGCAACTTGCAACTGTTATATCCACAAATTTTCTGTTAACACTTCTTTTAAAATTAGATCAAAATATGTGATTGGTACAGCAGATTTTTGTTACATAAATTTTAATTTATGATGCACTTATTAATAATTTTAATAATTTTAATGCTATCATTTTTCACAATCTTATTTTGATTACTAATTTTCTTAGGATGACCTTTACAAATTTTATTTACTAGGCAAATAATAATAACTGAAATCTGTTGAATCCATCCAATGGGCTAGAAGTTCTATTAGTACTTTATGCATTTTAACACTATTCATCACGAGTTTCATGTGCTCCCCCATATTTCACCAATAATAAAATGCAAGCTTAGCCATCAAATTATTGTTGAAGAAAAAAATATGTCAATTCTAGAACTGTCTATTTCAAATTCCATGTTTTTTTTCACTATTTTTTGTTGGCAGACACTTTTCACTTTCTAGAAAAGCACAAAGTAATGAAGCTAAAACACATAACATTTGATTCTAAAACATAGTGTTTGTGTAATTTTTCCTAATTGTTACATCTCACATACGCTGTACAATATCACTTTCTCTAAGAATTCCATACCAAAAGGTGTTTTTAGTTTTGCCAAGTAATTTCAGATATCATTTTATCATTTATTTCTCAAAATGACCCTGAGAGGAATACATGGCTTGTATAATTATTGCAATTTTGTGAAGAACTCAGAAACATGCTGTTTGCCTATAGTCACAGAGCTAGTATGTGTTCAAAATCTGAACCCAGAACTTTTGATTTCCAGAGAAATTTAATTTCCACAACTGTCAGTTATTTTCTAACACCAGAGGTATAATACGTGCTTGGAATTTGACAAATGTATTGATATCTCATTATTAGATTGATCATCATATATCTGTGTTAATGCTCTATCTTCTCTCTGTGCGTCTTAGATATCAAAAGGCTACTTATATTTGTTTGTTTGCTTGTTTGTTTATTCTTTATTTTGAAATGCAATTTTCACTTTCCTAAAAAAACAAATTTGTGACTCAGATATAGAGTGGGTAGCCTTTGTAAAATCTAATGCAAACTTGACAGAAAACTTAGCCTCAACACTGTTTTCTAAAAGAAATACAAACTGAAGGCATACTTTGATTGGGAAGAAATTTAGATTAGGGATGACGATTCATAGGAGAGGTCTTACTACATGCAACGAACTTTTCAGTAGAAAGTGGTAATTGCAGGTCCCAAGCCTTCTTCCAAACCACTACTTTATTTTTTTCCTTTTTATTTCTACCTACCTTCCACCTTTGGCTTCTTATTACTTCTTTAGCAAGCATGCTATTTCCACTGAGAACCAGCGCTTCACTCCATACAGAGGACAAGGGGTTTTGTTTGTTTTTGTTTTTGTTTTTTTAATCAAGCAGCAATATTCTGAAGGAAAAAAAAAAAAGAAGAAAGAAAATAAACAAGCTTCAGTAAAGGTACATCTCTTTTTACAAAGATATTCTCTTCCATTCACTAAGAAGATAACATGACATCCATAGCAATAAAATATATGATTGTAAAATTTGTCCCATAATCAGAGTGAAGATCATTTTAATACTAAGCACTTTTAAGTATAACAATGTGCATTAACATTTAAAATGGAAATACAGCAATCATACTATCATACTTGACTTGAAGTTTAGCTTTTCTTAAATTAGTTTTCAACCATTATTTTGTTCACTAGACCAATATATTTAATTTTGAAGTTTTCATTTATGCTAAGATTTAAATATCTTGATTTTTAATATACCACTTCTTTACTGTAGGATAAAGGAATTATGATAGGGTGAAACATAGAATCCAGATGTATATCTATCAATATATTTTATAATAGCTTATTTTGAAATCCACCATAGAAAAAGGTCATAGAGCATAACTGACCTGAGTTAAGGAAGTTAAATTTAGTTATTACTAAAAGGATTTATGTAGTTTCTAAAATCCCAGTATATGTCAGATAAATAATATTTTGAGCTACTTAAAATAATTATTTAGGGTATTTAAAAAAAATCACTGTACAGCTTGTTTTCTGAATTATTTGAAACACTTTCTAGGTAGTCAATTACTTGGATATAATTTTATTTTATTTTTAATGAATATTCAAAACATATAGAAATTTGAATGACTCAATTCTTTGAGTTACTGCTCTTAATTGTAATTTTGATTGACTCAATTTGAATGATTCAGTTACAATTAAGAGTAGTTTTAGGACGATGTCCACATCAATGTGATCTCCTTCCCGTCCACTACTGCCTCCAGTTAATCACCCACTACTGATCCAACCAGCAGCTGGGTACATTAGATAGGGTCCAAGCAAAGCCCTAAGACCTGATGAAATCTAGGTGGAAAGTAGGAGTACAGGGATAGCTCTCCTAAGGGTTAGGGTCAATCTGGAAACTAGTTTTAGAGAATCTGGACTTAAAATATGTAAGCACTAACTATTGTGAAAGCCCACATTGTTCTTGCTTGAGTGTGTCTATAATTCCAGGTCACCAAAGTTAAGAAGTAAATGGATAGGTGAACTGAGTTTTCAATGTTGGTGAGGCTGCAAAGTCACTAAGAATCAGGGAGGTCACTTTCTAGATGCTTCAAAAAGAGACTGAATGTGGAACAGTTATGATTTTTCCAGGTTCTCCAACAATTACATATGAACTTTGCAGACACACAAGATTCAAATAATTGGATTTTTTAAGACTTCCAGTACCTTTAGTTAGGTGTTCTAAGGAGAAGGTACAATGCTAGATGGGGGCAGGGAGGATGGTGCTTCCTGAGCCCCACCACACAATTGGTCAGTCCTCATCCAACAGCAGCTAGACCTTGCTAGAGTTGAAGCAGTTGGATTCTGTAATTGGGAGATCATTGGCCTATTGATACTTCACAAACCTCTCAGCTTCCTGGAGGGCAGGTGATACCAATGACCAGGATGATGGAGAAGTTCCAAAAATTCACTGGCCATGCATCCATTCTCAGGAGCTATATCTCTGTCAAGTGGTAAAAAAAAAAAAAAAAATTGGCAAACCAAACAAACACAAGCAGGAGCACTAAGGGCTCATTCATACTATTCAAAGATGAACTTGGAATGTCCTGCTAAGTTAAAAACACACCCAGGCATTTCTGGTTGAGGAGAAAGAGACTATGGAATAGGTATTAAAAACAGTAGGAGATATAAATACCTTATGAACTATGGAAATGAGGGCTAGAGCAAATACACATTGTTTTCCTTGCTTGGTTATGGACATATTTATGTTCATTAACCCTTTTCCTCTATCTTCTATCTCTACTATTTTATATAAAGGTTATTAGTTATGGTTGCATTGTATATCTTACTATATATTACAGTTATAATAAAAATAATATTTAGTATATATAATTCATTTTAATGTATTTACTTGGTCATTAGATTATATAATATGCCAGTGAGATTATGGATGCACTAGAAGAAAAATTACACCATCCCAAAATGGATACAAGTTACAGGGATAGCTAAGCAAAATACTGGTGAGTGGAACTGTGTGCCTTTCCTCTTTGGGGAAAAGGTGAGTGTGTCTTCTTTTGCAAAAGGGATAATTACATCTTTTAAGGCAGAAGTATGATTCTATCTAATTGTGGTTTAAGGAGGATGGATAAGAATGAAAACCCGTCTAAGAGGTAGATAGTACTAGAAAGTCTGTTTACATTTCAACACCATTCTTGTTCCTTTCTAGGCCCTCCCCAGTATCATAGCGGCTGGAAGACTAGAAACTAATTTTCAAGCCCCTTTTGCCAGTATAGTTACAAGGACTTACCAACAAGAAGCATATGTGGAATGTACTGCATAAAGAGAAGCCAGTATAGTTCTAGCAGTGGTACTCTGGTGAATGGGTTTTGGCACATGGCAGAAGGTTTTGCCAGGAGCCTCTGTGTCGTTTTCCCTTGAACTAGACATTTTTTGCTATAGGCAGCTGGGATCACTGGAGGCAACTCCCAGCAATTTCATACTTTTGATTTCCTAAACACTATCGAGTGTGTCTCTAACCTTTATTCCTCCAGCTCTTTTAACAATTTTATAAGCCTCTAATTCACCATATGAAATCTGTTTCTCCTAGATGTTCCTGAATTGTTTTCTGTTTTCCTGAAGAAAACTCAGTAATACTGGAAAGCCAGTATAATGCTTGAAGAAAACTGCCTATTCTGCTCCCCTCTAACACTGAAAGACTGCAGAAAAGTTTACCTTGCCTTGTAGAAGCTTCTAGCCTACCTGCCCATTCTCTACACTGCTCAGAACTTAGCATTATTCTGTGGGAAAACTGGCCGTACATTTCAGGCACCTTCTAGTTTCTCAATCTAGAAGAACTACTGAAAGCTCTACTGGTCTTTCTTTTCTCTACCAGAGGCCCAGAATTCTCCACCTGAATCATCAGATGCCCTAAAGGAAAGTTTTTGCTGGTAATTCTCTGCTCACCTAAGAATGGTTCTGCTTCTGGAATTTTTATTTATCTTGTTGCCATTCCTTCCATAGTTCTCAGATGCCTTTAAAGCTCCACCTGTGTTTTGTAATGTAACTGACTTTGACTTTTGTTTTCCCCACCACTGGGCCACTGGACCATTGGCTAACAATCAACAGAGCTGCCTTACAAAGTAGTGAACATTCTATTACCGGGAATGCTAAATTGCAAATTGGATAAACACATGCAAGGCATTTTATTGAATGGATTATCATCTTGATTATGGAGAAGTTAATCTACTCTAAACACAGTATGTGTTTTCTAAGTAATTTTCCAATCTGTGGCTCTATGATCATATTTCCAATGTGATAACTATATTGCTAAAACAATTACTAGCAGCATTGCATATCATGTGTATGCTTGTGCATACACATACAGTAGAGTTGGATTAATTTAATCTTGCCAGTGCTATTTTTTCTCCTTATAAATGAATTATGTTATACAAATCCTTTAAAGGAAATTAAAGATGTGTACACATAGCTATTACATGTTTGGGAATTTCAGGATAGCAAACCTGCATCAGAATCACCTGGGAGGATTAGCAAATGGAACTATGTGCCTTTCTTTCTGGGGAAAAGGTGAGTGTGTCTTCACTTGTAAAAGGGATAATTACTAAGTCAGAAGTACGATGCCATATAACTGTGGTTTAGGAGGATGGATAAGAATAAAAACCAGTCTAAGAGGTTTTAATCTAAAACACAGATTGCTAGGCCCACCCTAGAGTTTTTGATTCAGTAGGTCTGGAGTGGGGTCTGAAAATTTGCACTTCTACCAAGTTATCACCAATAATGCCACTTCTAGGGACCACACTTGGAGAATCACTGGTATAAAGAAGGAGTTGTATGATTTTACTTATTTTGTATTTATGCAAACCTAAAATATGAATAGTGTAAGTTAGGTCAGAATGGCCCCCATAGCTTACAGTTTTGCTTTATAATTTGCACTTACAAATGGACTGTCAGGCTGGTTATATGATCAGCTATTTAAATATTGATGAGGCATTTTTCCCTCACTGCTGTTCTCAGCTATGTCAGCTTGGAACTGTAAGCAAATCATTTTGTCAGTCTCATGTAATGCACATTACTTTCTCTTTTTCTCCCTCACTCTATCTTCCTCCAATAATTTCCTGTAAAACTTGCTGCTTACCTTTGAGGGAATAGTGGCAGCTCAGGTCATCCATCAAACCAGTGCTCTGTGTCAGCAGCTCCTCAAATGATATAAGGTGCTTCTTATATGACATAACCATCAGAACGCCACAAAGAAGAAGTCACAGTTGTCAACTTGGGTCATAAACCACAGGAAATCTCAATGAGCCTTCTAGTACCTGTCTTTCAATATTAAAATGTGTTCAGTACAGCATCCATATTATGGCCACTCTTGTTACAATTATGTCACCATTTTCCTGATTTCTAGAAGTAGAATTTATATCAGGCATAACATTCTCAGAGATGAGTCACATGTGGAAAATATATTTGGAGTTACAACTACTCATTTGACTATAAATGATTTAATTTAGATAAAGGGAATAAAGATGCAATTGTTTTAGGTCCATTGCTCAGGTATATATATTCCTTCCTATAAATAAGCTTTGTTTTGAATTTGCCAAGTCAATATATTTGGTAAATTTTATTAGTCAAGTAAGTTTCATATAATTGTAATTTCATAATTTAAGGAGAACAAGAATTTTATCTTGCATGTCCTTCCTTTTTCTTTACCTTTTACTATTTTTTTTTTTTAATCTGGCATTATTTTAAAACTGGTTAAAGAAAGAAAGAAAAAATACTTGTGTCTTTTTATCTTGGATTCCATGGAGGACATATTTGTTCATGCTTATAAGCATCTTTTCCAAACCAAGTAGACATGTATTATTAAAAATAAAAAAAAAGAAATAGAAAAATCTGTCAATGTCAAAAAATAGTACTGAGCAAGCTAAGAGTTATTAAAGTTGAAGAGAGTAAAACTCTTAGATTTGAAATGCAATTTTAATGTAAAAAGAGACTCCTGAGATTTCTGGATATTATTATAATGATCAAATGTAGATTGAACATCTTTGTCTCTGAACGTTTCTCATATTTTTAATTCCTTTGCCACATTTGCTAGATAAGTTGTAAGATCATCTGAACATATTTTTAAGGTTTCCAATATTTTTTGTTGGTGATGGGGGGTGGTGATCATAGTTTTAATCTCAAAGGGCTCTTTCATATTCTTTATGTTCTTTTTAATAGCATCATTTTTGTTATTTTAAGGATGCAATTTCTCTGATGTTTTTTAGTATATTTCTTAGGGGCTTTTATTTGTATTGTTTTTCTCTCCATTTCTTACAATGCTTACTAAATTAATTACGTTATTTTTGAAAATATCTTCCTTTAGGTTTTTTTTTTTTAACATACGACAAATTATTGTTATTGACAATTTATATTTAAGAAAGAAGGAATGGGGGCGCCTGGGTGGCTCAGTTGGTTAAGCATCCAACTCTTGATTTTAGTACAGGTCATGGTCTCAGGGTTGCAAGATGGATTCCAGAGTCAGAATCAGGCTCTGCGCTCAGCAGGGAGTCTGCTTGAGATTGTCTCCCTTTGTCCCTCCCCACCTACCCCATTCATGCGGGTGCGCAGGCTGGCACTCTCTCCCCCCTTCTCTCAAATAAATAAATAAATCTTAAAAAAAAAAAAGGAAAGAAAGAGAAAGAAAGAAAGAAGGAAGGAAAGAAAGAAAGAAAGAAAGAAAGAAAGAAAGAAAGAAAGAAAGAAAGAAAAGAAAGAAAGAAAGAAGGAATGGATAATTGGTTGGGCTTCCTGTGCTGACTGGTCAGTAGGATTATTTCTTGATATATTTTTCTAGTAGATGTTGCATAAAGGAATAAGCTAAATTATGCTGTACTAACAACCCCTTAATTTTTTTTTTTTAAAGATTTTATTTATTTTTTTGACAGAGAGTGACATAGCGAGAGCAGGAACACAAGCAGGGGGAGTGGGAGAGGGAGAAGCAGGCTTCCCGCAGAGCAGGGAGCCCGATGTGGGACTCGATCCCAGGATCCTGGGATCATGACCT